ATGTCCCGCGAGCAGGACTATTGGCGGCTTAGCTTCAGTTAGAGCGCGGTACTCTTATGTAGGATCACAATGCCAAATGCAGCCGTTCGATGAGCGCCGTGACGACTGCAAGAACGCGCTGGACAAGGCTCGCTGTGTTCTGTTCTTCACGCCTCAGTACGTGGACCGTCTCGAGGTCGGCATGAAGGTCAGTACCGATGAGTTGCTGATCGTTCAGAACAGCAACATGCGTATCCCGCAGGAAGGCGGTGACGCCGAGGTGGATGAGTGCAAGAAGCTCATTCTTACTCATGCGGAGATAAAAAAAATCGCAACTACAACTCCAAGCACATAAAGGTGGAATATGAGATGAAGGAAGAGCGCGAAGTGTTTGGCTGTCTCAAAATTAAGATTTGACTCGACATTAAGTCTATTGAGAAATGGATTGAGTAGAGTCGCTTCGACCGTAAGAAGATCGAAACACGGTTGGTTTAGCGGCTACATATCATTGATGCGATGGAAAATATATATCGTTGTCAAGAGCAATATAGGTATCGACAAATCGCTTAACTACTTACACTCAATACGGATGATCCTCCCGATTTTTTCTGTTTCTTTGAGGGGCGGAGCGATGGACTCGACTCGTTCGCGGATTATACTGACAGAACAACACCTTCGTTCTGTAGCCAGTACAAGTGCTTCAAGTAGCTAAATTCCGTATGGGTAAACTGCAGTCTCTCGTCATAAGTGCTCTTGAACGTCTCATTTTCTCGAATAAGTTTGCTAGTGAAGTTTTAAGAGCGCAGTTAGAAACGCTCGCAATTTTTCAGTCAAGTCGACAGCATCACTTGCTTCTGTTTCTTCATACATAAACATTTGTGTTGCAGCTCCACGCATGTGCTGGACATACCTTCCAGTGGTCTTCAACACCATTTCCCTTTCCGAAGGAGAAACGGTGCTCGCCAATGCTGCACTCATACGTTCAGCAACCTCTGTTGCATGCCACAAGACCTCTTGAATGTCTCCGAATTTTACTGCGCGTATCAGAGCTGTTGCTTCAGCTGTAAGTGCAGCTTCTAGAAGACCTTGGCGATATTTTTAAGATCGGTGAGAGACTTCTAAAATTCGGGATCCATAGGAGGTGTAGGTTTAGTTCAGACCTCTGAATATAAAATTTCAGTATCACTACAATCAGTTTTTTACAATAGAAGACGGATTATTGAAAATTTCATCAGAAGTTCAATACCATATTGTACCAATATTTGCAGTACAATTTAGAAAAGTAGGCTCACAGCAGTTTTAAGTACTTATTGGAACAATTTGATGCCAGCTGTTCGTCTCAGATTCATATCTTGCAGTCTGTATTGGTTACATAAGAATCTGATGGCGAATCATTATCGGGGCAGCCACACACAACCAACATGCATCGCATTGCACACTTCGCTTTTTTCGCTTTCGAAGGAACCTCTTCCTCCTATCCCCTTCAAGAAAAACGCCCTCCAACAAAGACATCTGCACCTACTTCTAGGAACCTCTCGGCGAAGGCCGCTACCGATGCAGACAACGTGGTAGTAAGTGGAAGCTGCTCCCCAACTCGGGCTACTTAAACCTAATTGCCCGCCTGTCCCAGTATGGAGCATCTCTGTCAAGAAACGACCGACATTTCGAGAACTTTCCTAGGAGACGTCGCATCGTTACCAGTGGATATACTGGGTTGTGGAGCGGAACATTCCGCTTTCAGAAGTCGACAATGAGCTGACGCGCTCCATGGCAAAGTGAAAATCACGGCCGTCATGCGTTTTGCTCAACAGCATTCGCGACGTAACAAAGAAAGTCGATAAAACACTCGAGACAGACGTTCAAATAAATTTTTGGATTATGTCTGATGAATAGTGTCATGGTTCTTGCCACTACGTTGGTGTAAACGCCGTGTTTGAGACGGACGGGCGTCTTTGGCTATACCTGTCTGCTTTATCGCCCCTTGAGAGCGGCTCTCAAGACACAGACTCTTACATCCAGCTGCTTGGCAGTGTTCTGGATGTATACAACAAACACTCGATATGGTGGCCATTATCGTCGGTGAAAATTGCAATACAAACCAGTCTATTGCCACAAACTTGGTGTTGCTGTGGTTGGGTCCGCCAGTCACCGATTTAACTTAGCAGTAAATCGTTACCTTGTTGATTTGGAGCCGTTACTAACACAAGGCAAATCACTGATACCAAAATTATCTCAAGTTAATAGCTTCGCCGAACTGGCAAAGCCCACTTGTCTACATCCTATCACAAGGAATATTACGAGATAGGGTTCGAGTTTTTAAATGCTAGAGCGCTACAGTCGCATCCGTCCTGAGATCTAGAGAGTGGACGGAGGACTTTGTTTCACGGGGGTCTGCGCATCACAACTCCTTGCTCTGCTCGAGCACATCAAGAAGTTCCTGAGCGTGATGAATAGCTACAGTGCGAGGGAGTCGAATTGACCGACATCCGTCTCCTATTAGACTCCGCGGTAGCGAGTATCCATCCATGCGAGAGCAGCTTCAACTGACTGCTAAAATTGTTCACCCGTCCGTCTTTGAGGCAGCGACCATCAATATTATCAATGGAGGCGCACTCTTAACAGCAGAAGTTGTAGCTGTAAAGCTATTCAAGATCTCAAGTCATGGTAGCAAGAGGAAGGCAAGCAAAGAAGATTACTCGACACAGATTCTCCGCGCCGACCCAACCAAGCGTTCTAAGCACGGTGGAGACGGCTGTGACATTACTTACAGCGAGCGGTTGAAGCAGCTACCTCAAACATTGAATGCTATCGAGCGATTACTCTTGCAGTGTGAGCTGGTGCTTACACCTCAGCGGACATGCATGTTGCCTGCTACCGTGAGCTTCATCACTAAGTTGATGCAATTTCGCATGCTCCCGTTTATTCTATGACTTGTGGGCACACGAATTCGCGGTTGCCACTAAGTTATTCTATCACTATAAACGCACCACAGCGCATCAAAACTTGTTGGAAGTACGTTCTTCTCACCATTCGATCTGACTATAGGCATCAGCTCGTAAACACACGGCCTTCCGTCCACTGCGCGGAATGTACCAGTGCCCATAGTAGACTTTTGGGCACCAGTTAACATCTGTAGCGCTTCTTGCCACATATCATCTGTCAAACGGAGGCCCGGACAGTAATGTCCTAGCGAGTTGTGTGCATCGATCCCATTGTAAGCGTTACGGCAAAAAATCATTGCATCTCTAGCGGCACGAATACTCACAGCGCTAGCCGATGAGACCCACCACGGCAGTAAACGTGAGAAAAAAATCGCTGTTGCAGTCGTGTAACCAGTGTTTACGCTGTGCGTGGATACCTAGAAGTATCACGGTATCCAAAGAGCTTATATCGATTTGTCCAGCATCGAGAAAGTTTTGTCTTGTATACCTACCAATGTTCTTCCAGACACGAGGCTAGGTACGACGAACAATCCTGTAAGGCTGAGCAATTCAACTCAAAATTAGTCTCCGTTGCGCTCTTAATTGTGTGTTAAATACTGCATGAAAGCATCCGTTTCCGCAGGTGTTAACATACTTATCTTGGCCAGGTAGTGGATTTTTCACTAGTGTCTGTCCGAGTACTGATCGCACTTTAGCCAACAAGTTTTGGTTTAGATGTCATCTACAGATCACAGATGGCACCAAAGGAAATATAGTTTTATCCCTTTTGTTGCCAACCCTGTAAAACGTGGCATAACGCATCGTTTTACAAAAATCGACCAATCAAAAATCGACAACTAACTTTGAACCAATTAGGCATTTACCGTAAAATACAACAAACGATGCATTATGCCACGTTTTACAAATTATCTTAATAAGTTTATATTTGAGATTTCCCTAAGTTAGTATTTGGCCAACCAGAAATGACTGTAAACGTGGCATTATGCATTGTTTTATAAAGCCAATTGGTTAAAGTATGTTTATTTTACAATAGGAAATGCATAGGGAATAAACGGGTTTAGTGCGCTCACAACTGCTAGCTCACGGTCCGTTAAAACATCACTTGGTACCTGAACGTTTTGTTTGGTTCATAGCAACAGTGAATATTCCTCGAAAAACAAGCGCCAGCAGGAACTCATCGTGTAATGTCGGCAGATACCACAATGATTCAACAGAAACCGTATCGCGCTACTCTATTGTGGCTGGTGGAGATAATGCACATATCGGTGGAAGTGGTTCTAATAGCGATACGGATAACCACAGAGATGAGGACATTGTTCACAATGTGTTGGAGCACGTTACGGTTACAAGGACTTCAATGTATCGGTAGAGGACGTTGAATGATCAATTATGAGTTTGACTTCCCAGATTACAATCGCGATAGCAATATTTCGTGCCGCGATGTCGCAGAGTTGAGTTAGTGAGATGACAAATTGCTTGATTTGGTATTGGATCACCGGTTAGGTGAAGAAAAAAAGTAAATAAGCGAAGGACACAAACTTATAATGCAGACAGCCGACGAAACGATGAAGCTCGTGGAGGTCCAAGGGAAGCCCAAAGCAAAATGATGTGCACTTCAACGGACACAGTACTTAATATTGCTCCTCCATCAGAGGATGTGTGTGATTCTCGTGGTGCTGATGAAAAAGCTATCCACGACTGGACACATCAGCACAACGATAATGTATCTAGGTGTCGGTCTCGGTACTTGCCTGGAACAATAGTGATCTGGGCTCGAAATTTGAGTGTGACTGAGTAGGAGGATCGAAGTCTACACAGCATAGAGTCAAGAGTGACAGAGGGAGAACTATGAGGGGGTCCAAACGCAGTGGATGCCCCATGCGCTTAGAAATGTGTGCTGTTTCTAAGGATGATATAGAAGGTTTATGGGGGATTGCCCATTATCAAAGAAGCCTTTTCCGCATAACCATCCTCTTTCAA